TCCGTGTGTAAGGAAATCGAAGGTACAAAAAAACTCCACTGGTTCCGCCGTGAAGACTGATAGCAAGGCAGACTTAATCCAGCCAGAATTGTAACTTTATTTTAAAAAGCCGGTTTTGTTCACACTTATAATAGCAAAGCGTAGTTTTGTTGGAGAAAAGTGCGGGCAGTAACGGTAATTTAAGATATGTGGCATAATCACAATCGAAGGCACTCAATAAGAAATAAGTGGAAAATAGCAAATTGTACGTCTGGCTGAGATTTCATGTTCCTAGAGAATAGCCTTGTTGTTTTGGTCCACAAAATCGCGCTACTATTGTCTACGACTCCAAGTTGCCCGAATGGGGCAGACGCCGTGACCGGGAAGCCACTTCATAGGTGAGTAAAGCTAAGTTCAAGTAGTCGTACGTTTTTGCAAGTCGCAGTTCAATATATGCATATGAAGCAGTTCCAGCAGACTAGACAGGCAATATCGTGTCCTTGAATCAACGGCCAAAACGATGTTTCTAATTCCAATTATACTATTGTCAATAGTCATAAAGCTAGAAGTCAAATTATACCAGGGTTTCATCACCTAACAAACATCATTTGAACCCAGACTGCATCGAGACTACATAGAAACACAAATAGATCGGTCCCACCAAGACCTATAATCGTATAGCAGCAAAAACGAAATACCAACGCTCAAACAGCGGTTTTACTACTCGGAACTTTGTACAACCAAATTTAACAATCAGTGCTACAACTAAATTAAGGACCTTGCGGACTCCAAATAATATACGGCCTTGAAATTAAGTCGCTCCGAGGAGAAAATATACACAGACTAGAGATACTAGACTGTGAGGTTTGCCAGTAGAACAAAACAAACAAGAAATTCGATGTCGTTGTCTTACTCGGAAAACAACGGCCCCTCCTTCCTATTCGGTCAATTATTACAACAAACCGAAAAAGTAAGATGGAAAATTTGGCTCAGAGTTCCACTCACTGTTATTCCGGCATCGCCGGAAGTGTGAAGAAGTGATAATATGGTTGGGAACCACCAGTGGTTTAGTCGCTGTCACCAACGTGCCTTGTACCCTATGGTTTGAGGTTCGAACCTCACCAATGCCACCTAACTTTGGTGATAGGCAGATCTGATGTCGTCCGGTTCAATATCACGTCTAACCTAGAGGAGCCTTATGTGGTTCACCACTCCAAGTTCCGGGGCTTAGGTTACCGGTTCCCATCACTGACAGCAGGCCCTCATGACTATGGGCTTTACCCCGTCATAAAAAAATAAAAATCTCCGACATAGAGAGCATTAGGCTAAAAATATTGGTCATCCTCGTCAAAGGAACCAGCTTCGGATCAATGTGTCTGGACACATATAGCTCTACATATCCACTGAGGCAACTGAACTTCACTAATTGCTGTCAAACTCAAAGTAAATACTAGGTAAGTGAGAATGGATAGAATGGATAGGGATTGCGCCCATTTTGAGATAACGAGAAGAAAGCGACCCTTATGGTCAACTTCAGCTAATTTCTGACCGTCTAGTTTCAGAACGGGACTCGGTGACACAGTATTGCAGCATCACTTTGCACTTAGAAGGCGCAAAGCGCATGCCGAACGGAGCTACAAAACTGGCAGGCCAATCGACTGGGATTTAAGCATCCTTCATACGTTCCAACAAGCAAACAATTTCTTTAGCTTACTCCAAATCGCATACATTTTCCCCAGCTGCTTACCCAATACCAACCTTTTAGAAACAACTTAGGGTGTTCTCCAGTATTTCGTCTGTGATGAAACAGAACAGAAATGGCAGAATAAAGCACCACTGAGGAACACCTCTGCTAGGTTCGAACGACCTGATCAGTTTTCTACCAGGAGCATGCGAGTAGAGGGACCCCAATAGGTGTACACACTTCAGCGGCCTACCTTTGCGAAGAAGCGAGCCCATAAGGGCTTCGCGATCGACTGAATCAAAGGCTCCTTTTAGGTCAAGGAACACGTTGGTCGGTGATGTGCAGGNTGTAGTTCAAGGAATTAAGGCAGCGTTAGGATTCGGTAGAAACCTTGCTTGTTGTTCGCGAATATCTGTCTCCCTCAAGGGTGTTTGACGTCGAAGGTTGACGGAGGATATTGGTTTGATGACGATTGGGATCGACGTATTCCACAATGACTTGCGCGAGAGATATTTTCTTAAAAAGTAGAACGATCAGTGATTCACTCCAGGACAATGGAATGTGACCAGACGTTACGCATTGAATCAGCAATGGAATCTAAGAGGTCACTGACCCCCTCCTCCCCTTCTTGAAAAGAGTGGGAGGAATCCCGTCAGGTCCTGATGCTTTTCCTTTGGATGCCAGATCATACTTCTGTTGCAGTAGGAGGCTCACGTGGCACTGCACATGGAGCCTGAGCTACAACAGACACACTAACGAACTACAACAGACGAGATAGTCTTGTTAAGGCCTGGCCGGATGAACCGTTGAACTGCTTCGCCCACCGATCAACCCGTTGTTCCCTACTGTGAATAATGTATTAACTTTTGTTGCAGATTGTTTCAGCCAGTGTGGTTCTCCAACCTCTCGTGTTGCGTATCAGTTGGAACAGTCTTCGACTAAACCCTTGCGCAGTTGCTACTTCCGTATCACCAGGCATTGTTGCCTACCATTTTCACGATCGTTATTAAAGCTCTTCGTGAGCTGACGTTACCGGCGCCAACTATATATATAAATGGTGGAACGATGGGATACCTCTATCATCAGGCGGTTTGAAGTGTGTCAGACTGTCTGCTTATCATCACCCAGCAAGTCTATGACAATACACACGCAGTCCAACAAGGCAACCGACCCTGGCTTTGAGCCTTAGCTGCCGGAATTAGTCGCTAATTCTCCATCAGAGCGGTTGAAACAACCTGGCGTGCACCAGGCTAGCTGAACTGTTCGCTGAAGTATTCCACCCTGCAATCAAGCTGTTGTTTATTATTGTGAATAGATTATCTTCTTTTATCGCAGAATGTTGCACTAACTGGAGCTGGCCGACCTCTCATATTGCGTATCAGTCCGAACAGCTTTTGGCTATTCCCTGATGCACCTGCTATTTCTGTTTCATTAGCCATTGTTGACCACCACTTTTGACGGTCGTTTTCGAGGCCGTTCGTGAGCTGGCGTTGCAGACGACACGTACTCCTACTTTGATCCCCGTTGGTCAGGGTTAGCCGCTTTTTCTCTATCAGTGCTACGAACTCAAGAGATGACTAATGCTTCGGGCGGGCTTGAAGCTCAGACCCACGAGCAACCCTTGCCGCGGAATGGATTGCCCACCTAATCTGATCCCAATACTCATCTAAATCAACACACAGAAGCACACCAAGCTCACGCACTAGCACTGACTCAGCGTGTACGTACTGCTGCAACAGACAGGCGATAATGAGGTATCTGAGTTTGCTGGTTTTGTCGGCGGTCAGTCTGTCGGAGGGTGAACTATATCGGAAATAATGCGTGGTTAGACTCAACACTGGTGGTTCAATAGGACCTTCATTTTTGCACTGAGCCACAACAACGTAGCTTGCTGCTATGTGGTCGATTTCAGTTAGCGTACCAATTGAACTGGAGCGACACGTTGCCGTCCGTCGAGAGCTGTGTCAGAAGTTGTTACTGGATAGGAACAGATGATGATTTGCGCAGAACCAAAGTCGGTCGCCGTTATCTGTTCGCTGACAGGGCAGAGCACAACT